ACGTATTAATAGGATGTGGTGTATCTCATGATCGTCAATATGCCTTCCGATGAGGAAATGCGGATTGTAACCAACATGGGGAAGGACAAGAAAGCAGAAGCTTCATAACAATGCCTTCTCAATGAAGAATTTCCTTTTCTCAGAAATTAGTGTACGTACCTTGGCTTATTGTTTTACCAATGCGATGGGTATATTGGTTTCTAGTGCATTCACCCAGTCCTCAATCTCCTTTACACAGCTTTCAACGCTACAGAATTTGCACGCGAATTCAAGCTCTCTCCTGATTTTTCCTCGATTAATCTCTTCCTTCCAAGCGACCACCCTCTTAGCCATCTCCTCATCGTAGAGACGTCTTAACCTTACCACTTCAATTCTTTCCTCGACGTCTTCATGGATGCTCTCTTGACATTCCGTACTTGATTGTTGTGTATGTTCGACACTCAAAAATTGCGGGTATTGAGTTGCTTTCCAGGTCGGCATGGCCGTCGCGTCTTCCCATCCTAGAATGCCTGTTATATTTCCCATGTCGTCAATCAAAATATTTCTCATCGATAAATCGTCATGGACAAGGACCGTGGACACCATTGCTTCGGGGAATGTTTGAAGAATCTTAGCATGTACTTTTTGAACGAGCTTCTGAAGACTTTGTGCTTCGATCATTTCTTCTTCATTAGTCGAGGTTCGTAATGTAGACGACAACTCCTTCCATATGGGTACCAACAGAGCTTCTAAATAGGAGCTGCTATTCGGGAAAGAACAGTAAGAATTCCTGTCACTAATCGCAGCAATAGAGATCAATCGACCAACAAAGGGTCGGACTTCTCTCGATATTTGATGTGAAGTACTGAAATCACCGTATCTATAGTCTGTGATATAATCATCCGCGTCTTGCGCGTCGAAAAGGTTTCCAATGTCGTCAAAGCTAGTTGCATATAGTTTTGCTTGATATTTCGCTATGCTTTTAACCACTTTCTCCTTTTGAGCAAATGACAAATCTTCCCATTCATCCTTGAGACATTTACCCTCCAATTGTCTCATCAGAATCCACTCAAAACCCAATTTATTCCTTCGATTTGCATCCCAAGCAATTACTCGGGGGGCAGGAACCCCTAATTTTCGCGCAAACTTCATGGTTGCTACTTCACTCAGCGTTTCGTCACTCTCCTGCAAAGGATATCGAACGCTCAAATGATAAACCCTTTCTTTCTTCTCTTCCCAACCTTCTCTCCACTTTACCATTTGATAAACAATAACCTTGTAGACTTTCTTGAATGCCGTTCTGTTTTCAAATGATACTATGCAAGGATTATCATCTCGTAAGCCCAAACGATCCAGTACCAGTGTGCGTATTCGCTCCATTTTTGGTTCAAATGGCCAGCGGGGGATCCCCCATAATGATAAATCCCTGGTGTAGGCGGAGAGAGTCATGACCTTTGATGCCGATTTAGGCAGTGGAATGGGTGATTGAGCTGGGACGGCATTGAGAGTGACGGTGGTGTTGACAGAAAGCTTTTGTATTTCACGCCTCTTGGGAAATCGAGGAATCAAATCCAAATTTTGAATTGCCATGTTTTTTTGCCGTGTCTTGTATGAAGCAGCGTGAAATTTACAAGCAATGATGAATAACGAGAGACTAGTGATTATGCAAGGCACCCCAAAAATTACAATTATGCGATAATAAAAAGAAAAATGAAAGAAAATGGAAACCTTAAAGAATGTCTAAATTGAATCTTTGACTTCTAATTCTCTAGATAGGGTTTCAACGTGTATCTATATGTCAGGGCTCGCGTCTACTCAGCCTCAAGTTGGTGCAGGTCTGGTGGGTCGGGACAGGGCAGTACAGTATATGCGCGCGCTTGGGGTCTTTGAACACCGACATTGAGGCTTCTGGAATCATTAGGGTCGTATTTGAGCATTGAGAAGATCTGAAACGTACCAAATCCACCAAAAACCTCGATACTACGACTAGAATCTTGAATTAATGGTTTAATGCGGGGTGGGATTGTGGGGTATATGGGATCTCGCGAGAATCCACAGGAATCCTTTGGTTTTGAGATCGAATTGTGTTTTACTTTATTGACGGTTGTGGAGCTCACGTTGACCTTTTTATTCAAAAGTTGTGCAAATGTTCCATTTATCAATTCATTAAGTACGATGAATGATTCTCACAATGGACATTAAATCTCCCCACTGCAAACCATCATCGCCAGAACCAAATAGGACTATTTCATGCCCACCAGGATGAGGCATGTAACAAACAGACTGAGGTTGCGCAACATAGACCTTTATGGAGGATCAGTTTGCTTCTGCACCTAAAAGCTTAGTCTAGTGACTGGGATGGACAGAAGCAAGTCTATTAAGCTATGTCGACTAACGATTAGTATTTCAAACCAACAGGGATAACGCATGCTTCAATGGACTACAGATGTGCAACACTACCCTTTGAAAAGTTCTATTCGAAATGTCAATTCAAGAAACCCATTTAGAAAAGCACAAGACAATGCCACATGAAGTTTCATTTCAATTCAATCTTACACAAAGGACGGATCTATCCTTAGGTCCCTATTCTCCTAGTACGAACACAGCCAATTAAAAACCACTCTCCAAAGCCAGGTCTTATACCCATCAACTCGATATACCCCATCAATTGACTGCTGATCCAGCAGCCGAAACAAAGCTCTTCTCCACCAGAATTCTCTCCTCGGGGTATTTGGGATATCTCTGACTCTCCAAATCTCTAGCTCCACCCGTAACAATTGAAGTTGGTCCTGATCCATCGTCATTCCAAGGCGACTTTTCGGAAAGAGGGCTTGGCAGATTGTTGGATGTAGAGTCAGAAGAGTGTTTTCGGAACAAGGAACTGTTCTTGCTGCGGATAGAGAGTTTAGAACGCACGCTACCGATCATAGAGCCGAGGCTGCGGCCGCCTCGGAGAAGAGGTGCGAGACAGGGAAGACAGGCAGTTATAGTGCTGGCGTAGGCTTCGATATGAGCCCAGAGATATACTTCTTCGTCGAGTTCTAATAGTCGTTAGTTAGAGCTGCAAAATGATTGGAAATGGCAGACTTACTGAGATCAGGTGTGCTGGTTCCGAATAGTTTCTGGGAATAGTAAAGTCGAATGCAAGATGAGATGAGACAGCTATGATACTCGGCATCAGCAAAATGTAACCATTTTTCTGGGACAACACTGGATTCTCACAAAGCACCGAGAAGGAAAACGCCGGATACATAAACTTTCTTCTCCGTCGGCATATGAAGGCCCTTGATCACAGGGAATGGAAGACTAAGAACTGCGATATCAAGGAAGATATCTACAGCTGCGCAGGCGATAACGAGATTTGGGACATCCAGGATAAACTGAGTGCCAATCAACTCGGGTGACGTATTCCAATACGCTGCGACAGGATGAGCAGAAAAAAGGAACAGCTAAATGGGTTATCTCTTTAGTGCTACACTCCCAGTGGATATCATTGATACTTACGAAGAAAGACAAAATCATATACAACGAAATCATGCCCAAGACGGTGTTCGCACAAATAATGAAGGTTCGACTAGTGAAAATGCGTTTATAGAAAACCACCACTGATATCTTGATAAGTCCATACACAAAATGACAGATCAAAGTATCAGCAAACTGGACTTCAAAGAACCGTTCGATATCTGGAAAGCTCAAAGTCGATAGACGAACTCCTCGGAGTCCACTCGCGGCCGCATAGATGCATTCAACACATAACGCAATTGAGCAAATCTACCAGACAAAAGTTAATGGTACACATGATGATTTGATGAAAAGAAGAACATACCAAACAGAAAAGAATCAACCAATCATCAGCTTGTAAGGTCAGCTTACTTCTCTTTCTCGCATAGAAGCGTAGAGAAACTGTAATAGTTGCGAGGACAGCGAGAATCACATTTGCGACGACGCCGCCGACGGCAACTTCTGGGATCGCCATAGTATGGGAGTTAATTATGATGGTTGTTGTCTGAGAAAGAATATCACGTAGATGTGGGACTATACTTCAAACACAATATCTCTGGACTCGAGTGGGGATATTTTTACATATATGACTGGTTTATTATCCGTAACGCCGACAAGTGCTGTGCTACATGCCTACCATATACTATTAATTGGAATCTTCCACCCCCTCGACGCGACGCATGGCTGGATGGTACAGAATCGTGAGGGGGGTAAAAGTGGAAACGGCTGAGCTGGAAGATTCTTCAATGGATTGCATCCTGTCCACAGACGCAACGGCTCGGACATTCTATTACATGACTTGGCAATTTGGTTTGTCAGGGCTCCAAGAAATGAGAAGCTGGGATGCTTAGATACATTAATTAGACACGAGGTCCTGAACTTTGTGACCAAAGTGGTATTACATGAGCAATAGCATTGAGTCTTGGTGGCCGTACGTGTAAGTACTTCTAGTCCAACGCCATTTACCTTTTCGATGTATAGCTGAATGTTCATGTTCTTTGAAAATGTACATTTAAACTCCACAATCCTCCATTTTTATGTCTCATTCAAATCCTTTCCGTCTACCTCCAAAACTTCTCATGCCACTCTTTCTCTCCAAGAAAAAGCTCTAGATGCCATCCAATAATACCCATTCCTCCCTTTCGCGTGGAACAATAAGCACATTTACGCTCATCTCGCGAACAAATCACTTCTTCTTGGAACCATACTTGTCCACGCATAAACATCCAATACTATCCCGTTCTTTTAAATGCCGTGGAACAATGCTACCTAAACTTTAATTCTCAATAAATCTAATTTGCATCACATACAGAGACATATTCCCTATCATCTTCATTTATCTGATCCCTCATTTCAATTGTTTTCTATTCAGGCCCCTGATTCTGGCTTGAGAATTAAAATACCAAATCACGCCATGTATACAGGAGAAAAGAAGGCAACCTTCGGCTTGAAGACCTGATGACAATCTTCTGGAAGGCAATTTAAAAGAAGTTGATTGTTGCCATAAAGCTGCTTACGGGATGGCACTTCCGGCGGGCTGGCTGATCAAGATTGCGGGACTCCGCTTCCGAACTTCTTCTAAGTCGGATAGTTTGAATAACTTCCGAGGGAGTATATTCTCCGACGCATGGTATGTCCTTGGGTTGCTATCTATAAAGTTCGGCTTGCGCCTCTTTTTGTATGGTGGAGATGTATTCATGATACGATGACAATGAATATTTCAGAACAATTATGAATCTACAGGATTTTAAATGTCTGAAATGGATATCTATTTAAATGTGAATGGGAAGAAATTTTCAAGATTTCTATTGTTATACACGGCTCATATCAAGGTCGCACATGTACGACATACCAAGAATCCAAGACGATAAGAACGCGGTTGGTAGTCGTACGATTCCCTTCAACTCGTGCTATAAATGCTATCGTGCAGAAAAACATGTCGCAGATATTTCACATAAAGTATCGGACTTTGAGCTTAATATGCTTTAAAGTGGTCGTGCATTAAATTTAAAGACGCCTCTCTGTATATGTGACTTCTTTATCTCGTACCGCCACGAGAAATTGAGTCCTTCCTGTGATACTGCGAGAGAAGATAAACAATTTATATTGCGAGTTAACATGCTGAACCTGTCTATATACTTCATTGTATGGTAGAGTGATGCACAGATACGTTCAAACTTCTTGGCACAATGTGGTTTCCTTTAATCACGAGACGACCTGTCTACGCACCTATCACCGTCGATTCTGATGAAGAAGCAAAATCGAGGCTTGATAGAAGTTACAAGAACAAACTGAGCTTGAGATTGAACATTCTGCTACTCGTTGCCCTTTGTTCCGTATCTTGTACACTGGGATTCCTTGCTGCAAGATTCCTAGACACGCAATCGATCGCTTCCCGTGTAGGACTTCGATGTATACACTTTTCCCCCGAAGTAATGAGATTATGGTAGAGCTAATATTACATGATTAGTTGCTAAAGAACTGAGTACTTTCTCCTATAGTCGCAATTTCTCGTATCCGCCATCTAATACCACAGATGCTGCTTGGAATGGATTGTTTATGACAAAAGGTGATGGGGGATTCTTCAATCATCCTTATGTGAAAGGAGAAAGAGCTACATTGAGCGTCTTGCATCAGTTACACTGTTTGGTAAGAATGTATTTCTGTCTTGGTTTTTTTTAATCCTATATCTGATTCCCCATCTCCTCGGCATAATTGTTTTACCTTTTCATCAAGAATTCATCCTATTACATCTCAATAATGGTTACTAACCGTAGTTCAGGATGGTATACGTCACATTTACTACCTCAACAATGACGCAGCGACGACTGGAACAGTACTTCTTGACGAAGAATTAGACCTTCATATGAGAAGAAGTCACATGAGGCATTGTATTGATTTTTTGAGGCAGAGTTTGATGTGTTGTGGGGATAGTAGTATTGAGAGGGTCAATCCTGAGCTGAAGGTAGGTTGTTCTCTGCTTCGCCTGAAGCGAGCTTTCATTTGCCTTTGAAGAAAAGTTGATATGATTATTTTGTGGTTTGAGAGTAAAACTAGTTGTAAAAGCAGAAGAGAAGGCAGGATATGAATGAAGAGAAGAAAGGATGCTTGCTAACGGGAATCATACAGGGTGTTACGGGATGGGGTACTGAGCATATGTGTACGAATTGGGAAGAGTTGCAGGAATGGGTTGGAGAGAGGCAGAGATTAGATCGCGAGGGATGAGAGACAAAGATAGGAGACAATCAGGTATGATGAGCCAAAATTAAAGATAGTTTTTGGAGAAATTGGAAGAAGGTTGCCTGAACAGCTGGAATCTGTACAAAAGTAGATAGGATAGTTGCAACGAGATAGTGTTTGCATGATAGTCGCATTTCTAAAAAAAAAAATGGACCGCATGTGGTTTCAATTGTTGTCTCAAGAGTCAAGTAATCTGTCATGGAAGTTTAAATCTGACAGAACCTGAGTATTCAAGAGTTCATTGGTTCATCATTGTAAGACCATATCTTGACGATGGAACTCTATATAGATACAATATCAAATAATGTCACCACAAATTTGAGATAGCTAGCCAAAGCGCGCCAATCGAGGAGGGCCAGGTGTCTCAAAAACAGTAAACACAGTTTAACTCTCTCAACCACGAATCTTATGTAGTACCAAAAGCGTTCCAAGATACGTATGTTTCATTGCCACTATCGTCTATCACACATCCGCAACTCAACGGCTCCGAACTCCATTCTGATTATGCACCTCCTTCCAGTCTAGGATTCACAAGCGCAGCCATTTCTTCCTCGCCAACAACACGATCGGCGAGAGATTCCATTAGCGCGTTCCAATCCACGCATCGATGTTCTGTCGGTTTGACATGCGGCTGTGGCTTGGATAGTTTTTCCCATCCGAAAGTTGTGAGCGTTGTGTCGCCTTGACACATTACTGCACTGCGTAAAATATCGAAACAGTGATCTAACTACTGCATCAGTATCTTCACCTTGGTGACGAGGAGAGGGAAAGGTTACCTGCATGGATATCCCAATGTTCAATTGTTGGGTCTGTTATGTTGGGATAGTAGTAATCCCGATAGTTCCATCGTCGAAGCATTTTCTGTCGATTTGTCAGTTGCTTAGCTGAGATAATCATTCAGATGAAACTTGCAATGCAATGTAGCTGATGATGAGCTCCGATCCAAACCATATGCCCACCACCTTCTGGTAGAGATACAGACTTTTGACCACTCTTCTCCAATTCTTCTGTCGTGACCCGTATATTCATGTCTTTCAACAGGTCATGCCATGCTTGATCTACCGACTCGCTCGGGGGCCCAGCGTAAGGCGACGATGGGAGATCGGGAGGAGCAATTGGAACATATTGAACTCTCACACCCGGTAGAGCTAGAATTAATGAGTACGTTGGCACCTAAGGGTCATCGGGAAGTCATGAAGCATACGATGAACTGAAGTTGGTATGGAACAGGTTGATTGCTGTAGGGCGAGTATGAAAATGATAGTATATAACAATACTATTGAAATATGTAGGAAGACGACTCGCAGGGTCAGCTTTGCATTATCTCGTTCATTCTTAGGGTTTTCATTTTCTGATCTTTCCTCATCCAATAAAAATGGTTTACTTTCTGATGACATTGTACTGCGATCGTGGGATTGAAGCTGTTTACTGAAGCTTGACACGACTGATCGCAGATATCTTTAATTGAAGCCAAGGTCATTACATATCGGCGACTCGAGCTCCGAATAATCAGATTAAACTGTACAGCACGTGGTATCGCTGCTGCATAGAGCACATCGTATGATCTTCGGGGTAGCAATAGGCTTCAATGTATTGCCAACATAGCCAAGAATGGTAATTTCGAGACTCAACACCCGATGCATCCCCGCAGACAATGGGCAGAATATTGATATCGGAAGATCCTCGTCCAACCAAGAACTTACGCGCAAGCAGCTGAACAATAATCTCCAATAAAATTGATACCGGCCTGCTTTTGGTCACCGGTTAAATGCAAAACCGTCGAGATTTGCTGCGGGAAGCACAAATGTCCGACATTTGCGCAACCAGATTGAGATAAAGATGATGGGGAAACCGATAAGGCTTTTCTCATATAGGGGAAAGATGAAACCAGCTGGGAAATTCTCCTCTCAACCAATAGTACAAGCAAACTCGTAGGGCGGAACATCGAAAATGGTATTCGGTACTTATGTATGTGGAAAGCGAAGCTTTTTGCGCCTTGTCATCATCCAATATTTTGGATCTTTTCGGAGGAATCGATTAAGAAATAGAGAAAAAGATGAACTCTTAAAATCAATTAACTGAACTATAAAATGATCGACTGAACCTACCTACTTATCTGCATTTTCCCAGATATCTAATACATTCAAAACTCGATCGAACCAAACATCTTCAGAGAAAAATGCGCGCCACTCTTTACCAACTCGTCGTCTTAAGCTTTGGATTTATGGCCATTGCTGCCCCTCTCAGCCATCCTGGTAAGAGACAAAATGCACCTTCCTGACACGTTACCCCGCTAACAATCATTATAGACTCCCCTACGATCAGATCAACAGGTTTGTGAAAAACACTCTCAACTATGCAGCATAATTTGACTGAGTTTCTATTAGATGGTGATGAATTTGTGAGATGGCCTGACAACGCTATTGATACGAACGGGCTTTCTGTTGCCGCCTACCAAGGGGACTGAAGACGGCAGGAGTTGTCTGACAGGTCGGAGGCTGTTTGCGGAGTTGAGCGATAAGGAAGTGGATTGTAGAGTGGCTTGTAGAGGCTGTGTTGTTATAATTGCTTTTTCAATGGCATCATTTTGGATGTAAGAGCGGGATCGAGTGTTAAGCTCGTTCGGCATTTGGCGGCCAAGAAATTTTGACTATGTAGCTTGAGAGAATGCAACTAAATCACTTGTCGGAAAGATGTTGCGCATTGTCCCACCCGTCATGGTAGTGAATAACGTGCCAATCGGAGCTACCCCTTTCTAATCCATGTTAAGACGAGAGCCAATAGACGACATATCAAGCACGTGAAAACGGCGAATACTCTATCAGTTTGCTATCCGTTTCCGTTGGTCACAGTTATAAATATATAGTTACACAAACAAAATGCCTTGCAATAGTGGGAATTGTGAGCTATTCAGATCTCTTCCAACACAGGAAAGAACAACTTCTCAAATAAGAAGGACAGTGAGCTCTATTAATTATGGCCTCTTTACTCATCAAATTGCTGCTATTATTCTCAGTTATTTTCTGCTATCAGCTCTATAAAGGATGGAAATCCAGAAGGAACACACCTGCAGAATGTCAACAAGCTCCAAGCTTACCTACAATCGAACCTTTTCTTGGTTTGGATCTGTTCAAGAAATCTCTTGAGATAAGAAAACAGCATACCATCTTAGAAACCCACGCAAAGCAACATGATATCTACGGCAAGACATTCCAAGCTTTACGTCTCGGCAGAACCACGATATATACAGCCCATCCAGACAACCTAAAAGCAATTTATGGAACAAACTGGAAAGAATGGGGTACAGGTAGAGCTGATGCCATGGAGCCTTTCTGCGGAAGAGGATTTGTTACTAGAGATGGCGAAGAATGGAGAGTTCATCGAAGTTTGTTTGCTTCAACCTTGACAGAAGCCAATACTGTAAATTTGAAACTCCTCGGCGATGCTTACAAACACTACATACAAGATTTGCCGTCAAATGGACAGACTGTTGATTTGGCACCAATCTTCAATAAATTGGTAAGTTGTAGCCCAAAGACAAGTGCACAATATCTAACTGACCATAGTTCCTGGATCTATCACTCCAATTTCTGTTCGGTAAGCGTCTAGCAGTATTATACTCAGGGGATTCACCGGTGGATATGCATACCTTCGAGAAAGCATTTGATGCTGCACAAACTTGGATGGGTATACGATTAGCATTTGGAAAGTTTGGACGCAGTGTCTCCCTCCTCAGTAACAAATGGAAAGAGTCATGCAGAATAGTACATTCTTTCGTGGACCATCATATTGTCAAAGCACTTGAGAAACCAGACAACTCAACTTTAGAGGAGTATGCGTCAACTCTTCTCGAAAATTTAGTGTTACGGGGAAAGAATCTAGACGAAATCCGCTCGCAAATTCTTCAAGGTATGCTAGTCACTCAAGATACAACGGGAATAGTCTTGAGCAATACAATATTCCTGCTTTCGAGATCTCCAAAGATCTGGGCACGCCTGCGAGATGATATTGCTGCCCTCGGTCCAGTCGAAGTTTGGAGTGCAACAGATTTGAAGAACTTAAAACTTGTTCAAAATTGCATAAAAGAATGTAAGCTTGCTCTAATCTGTGACTCTTAATTTATTGTCAAAAAAGAACTAATGAATAAAGCTCTTCGCATCTGTCCTCTATTCCACGCAAACAGCCGTATAGCTCTTGTCGACACAACACTTCCAACTGGCGGGGGTTCTAATGGTACAGCACCAATATTCATTCCAGCAGGCAGGAAAGTCAGCACAAACTTTTACACACTTCACCGAGAAAAATCGGTATTTGGGGATGACATCGAGACTTTCAACCCCGACCGATGGAATCATATTTCTCCAAGTAGTTGGGAATTCATGCCATTCAGCCACGGTCCGCGTAGCTGTGCTGGTCGACATAAAGCTCTAGGAGAGGCCTCGTACATTGTTGCCAGAATAGCAAGTCAGTTTCAGCGAATAGAAAGTCGCGATGATAGGCCGTGGACCGAAGATGTGAAGCTGGTGGTGAAAAATGGTAATGGTTGCCAGGTAGCGCTTTTTTCTGCTTGAGGGGTAGCTTCGCACTAGTTTACTGTGCCTCTTTTGATCCTAATTCAATTTTTGAATATGAACTGATGGTGAGACTTTTGATAATACTTTATTGTCCATGTGACTAAGCCCTGTGTAGTTTGCAACAAACGGAACGAGAGTTCCTGATAGTAGTTATGATATGGAATTCAGATCAATCGCTGCCAAGACACAATTATCCAACTGTGAAATGTGAGAAGTAAGCTCTTTTGGTTTGATCGGGAATGAGCACTGAGGTGAAATTATTCCAAAAGTCAATCTAACGAGTGTGCTTAAGACATTGAAAGCACCACCAACTGTTGGAGCTGAGCGGGGGCATAAAAAGACAACAATTTTTCAAAACATCAATGTATAAATGACAGAATAAATCTTGGCCGAAATACGAATGAAACTATCATCTCCATGCCAAGCAAATTTCCTCTTATCCTCAAGCTACTTCCGAAATATTCCATTGCAAATGACACTCCCAGTTACAATCTGTTCCCTCGCCTAGGTACCACAATCCAGGAAGATCGACGTTCTATGCGATGAGCTTGATATTCATATCAGCTCGAATTCGTTAGCAAGACGGTGAAAGAGCCTGAATTCTTAGCCATCAACTCAAATGGCCGGTAAGATCATCTATCAGATCCATTCGGAATTTCACTCAAATATTTATCCCAACACAAGCACTAGAGAGCCCCAGCAATCAACGATCCAAACATCGAAACTAAAGTTTAGGAGTCCGCTGCAATCACCAAATACCTCATCGATGTCTACGAAAAAAGAGGCAAATTATAAATCTTTGCTTCCTCCGAGAAATAAGACTTGGACCAACAGCTTTTCCAAGCATCTGGACAAGGTCCTTATTTCGGTCAAGCCCTCGCACATATTTTACCTAACGATCTTGAATTATGAAAGTTTACTCTCATATCACAACTAGCTGACACCTATCCTCCCATCAAGTGATTCGCCTACTCCAACCTCGAGAAGATATCCCACCCAACATCCCAGATCGCTCCATCAACGAAGCCAAACACCTAACAAGCATTCTGAACACCCTTTAGCAGGCTAAGAATACTTGATAGGCAATAAACCCACATATGCAGATCTAACTTTGGTACCTTGGCATTAGGATGTAGCGGGAGCGGATTGAAATATGATATACGAGGAGAGCGGCTCCTAGAACCCTCGCACTAGAATCCTCGCAATTGACAAGATTAGAATGTTAAAAGCTCGCGGTAAATAAATCATTTCAGAGAACTCTGAATGATTCCAAATACGAACTTTATCTTGTGATGATATTCTTTCTCCATGCATATCCACCGAAACGAAAAGAAAGACCTGAGAAAACATGAGGCCACAAGTTTTCGGCTTCATCACCACTTTCTCTTCCTAATCAACTACTCCCTCTAGCGACAAATTCGCACTAACCTCCCCCATCACATTTTCTCTACGTCTCTACTTCTCTTCCCAATAATCGTTCAAATGCAATGCATCACCCCTATAATTTCCATCCCCGCTCACAACTCCGCTTCTCCGCGGCACCAAACCAACCCAAACCAAACCAAACCAACAAAACAAATCACGTGAGACACCCTCTTCAGAGTGGCAAAACTATCTGAAAGACACATCGCGGATTTGTTGCATATCGTATCCAAATCAACACATGTAACACATGCATTAGTGCTTACAAGCAAGCTATTTGGTATTGGTTCGGATAAAGATGGCGGTTTTCTACTTTGGTTTGTAGGTGTGGAGGTACGTACATCGATGTTCTTCGTGAAATTGGGTGTCTGAATGGCTAGGTCGTTGGAAAGTGAGAAATACAACCAATACAGTTCGATCACTTCCAAAAGATTATAATCTATATCTGAATCCTCGAGTTTGAAAATCTGTGAGATCCCCGCCCATGTCCATTTCTCCCTCTGGTTCCTCATCCTCGGACTCCAAACCCCATTCCTCTCTATCCCTCCTCCCATTAACCCCCTTTAAATATCCCTCAGTCCCACCGCCATCGCTGCAGACAGAAAATAACATCCTAAACAGACCGCAAACCCTCTCCCAAATCCCATATCTCTCTCCTTACCACCAAAGATATGCGGGCCTAACATATTCCCCACACAATACGCGACAAACATACAAGCACTCATTGTCATTTTTTTTGTCGTCCCTCTTGTGTTCGCTCCTATAAGACTCATTGTTAATGGAATAGTCGCATGCGAGAAGCCAATGAGATAGAACCCTGTTAGTTTTAGCGAATTGAGAGGAGCCCAGTTCATGAGGCTTGCGCCGATAATAGGGGGAAGAAGAAGGGTAGAGAGAAGAAGAGTCGTGGTGTCGCGATAGCGGGACGCGAGATGTCCGGATATTACGATTGTGAGAAAAGATATTAGAGAAGATGGGAGGGAGATGAGAGTTGATTGGAGACCAGTAAATCCAAAGCTTGTTATGAGAATGTTTGCGAAACTGGTTGTTCCTCCATTCGGGATCTGGGGCTCGGTTAGTTCTGTTTTCGGGAACTGTAAGAATGTTGATTTACCATGGTAAACAAGGAAATGAAAACGCAAAACCACGTTTTTGGATCGAGTAGACACTCGATGGCCTGTTCGCCTTTCCAGTCGTTTTTGACAGACATAGTAATTCCAGTCCCTGCTACACGAACTCTCTCCTCTGCACATTTCTTCTCTTCCGGGGTGAGAAACTTGGCTCTGGAGATAGTATCTGGTAGGAAAACGAGGACAATAAAGCCCCATATAGCTGTTGCTAATCCAAATATCTTACAATCTGTTAAAATGATTCTTAGTTGCTTTGTTCGGACAACACTTACAATATATAACAACTTCCAAGGTTTCAATGAAGAATGAATCTGTCCAATCCCAAAAGAGAGCAAACTAGCGACGGCACCCCCAAAAGAATTCCCCGCATACCTAGAACAATATCAGCCCCCTCATTCTGGGATTTTACCTATCTTATTCACAGATTACTTACCACAGCCCCATACGACTAGGCATTTCATCCCTCGTATACCACATGCTCGTAACATACAGAAACGCTGGACTAATACTTGATTCTACCATCCCCGTGAATAGCCTCGCTACCATTAGTCCCTCATAAGAGGTACATGAAGCCGTACTCGCAACAATGATTCCCCAGATCACAATATCCGCTGCAATATATTTTGCAACAGGGAGGGTTTGGATGAGATAGACACCGGGGTATTCCCACAAAAGATAGCCGAAATAGAAGACACTGGAGATGGAACTAAACTGGCCGTCCACGAGATGCTTGACGGGTGTCAGTAACGACTAGAAATCCGCATCTCACGACCGTCATAGTCAACATTCCTTCAAACTAGAGAATTCCGAATCTCCCAGTTCAAAAAGGAAATTTACATACCGTATCCCCAACCAACCCAAACACAGCCGCAGTGCTCAAAATACTCTTATCGATGTAATTAAAATTAAACGTTATAAACATCAATGGCATAAGTCTTAAATCTATTTTTCTGACCAGCCTTTTTGCGAAAGCTGTGTTCTCAGGAAAGACAGCAACAGCTGAGTTCGGTGAAGTTGTGATCGTGTCATTGTTGGATTTGGTGGGATCAAGGTTTGCGGAGACCTCATCTGAGCTGTGTAGAGATTAGTGATGTGTTTGAGGATACATGGGACCAATGTTGAGGTCAAAACAATGGGAAATCGTAATACAGTAACGGGGTATCTTCCGTCGACATCTTAATCATCCCTTATTATGTTCCTTTTGTTATCAGGAAATCCAGCAAGAAATCCAGCACGCCACTATCAATTTTGATAGGGAAAAGAACGCACCAAGAACGTGAAGGAACGTTGTCACAACGGCCTATCTGTCGAACTCTGTCGTAATGTATTTGTATGATCGGAAGGAAGCTCTCTGAATCATAATTACGATCCTTGTGATAATCGATGTCACGAGCATGATAACGATAGTCGGAGGATCCGTGGGTCATTACAGGGGTTCATCAACACCAAGCTGAGATGTGAAGAGAGCACCTCGAGACGTTTTGTGTATATTTTAGAGACATTTATGAATACTTTCATTCACAAATAAGGATATCTGTATCATTCTGACGGATCGATGTCGGTCTTTATATTTGTGTATTATATACCACAAGAGATTCCCTTTTCCTTTTGGTGGGTGACATGATAATGCTCGTGCTATTTCCCCATCAACTAATTTTGACAACGAACACCCCAGCGCTTCTGTTATTTGGCAGGATGTGATTTCAAAATTCCAATCAACTCCCGCTCATCATATCGCAAAAGACAAAGTAGATACGTAGATGCATCGGCAAGCACCCCATCGTACAACCCATCAAAAGATTGCGGACGTAACAATCCACAATCCCTTACTAATCTTTTTTCTCCGTTCCAAACTCCCGATGAAGGAAAACATCAATTTCCCCAATCATCCTCAGACTCTGTTCAATACTGGGAGATCTGTTTTCCCCTGGTATCTGAACCCACCTTTTGATTAATGTTTGAAGATGTGATCCAATGTTTGTGACGTCTTGGCCGAGAAGAATACGGAGATATGGGAGACGGGAAGCGGCGAGGAGTACAAGCATTGCGCCCGTCATTCTGGATGGACGTTAGTAATGTGATTGAATGTGTAGTGGTATGAAAAGTAGGATATGTGGGATGGGATTCGTTATATGAAGAAGAGGGGGGAGAAATACGACAAAGAACATATCCAGGTATCCATCATAACCGTATGTGCAAACCCTCGTAAATTAATTATGTGAAGCAAACAGGCATCTAAGCAATTTCGACACTTTTCCAGTACATTTTGTGCGACATTTATGTCTTGAGAATGATTTGTAAGAACCCAAGTCAAGTAAGGTCGATAAATAACGCTTCTACATGTCAAATATCTCTGTCTCAGAAATCCTGCGTGTTGACCTTGAGCAGGTTGTGTATCGACGACGAATTGTAAAGCTGGGGGTAAAAAGTCCCTCCATTCTTCGAGTTGATGGTCTAGTTCTTCCACAATGAACGGGAAACGTGCGTCGTCAAGACTTGCTCCGGTTTCCTTAGCATAGAGAAGGTTGTGAACGCGATTTAGAAGTCGACGCATTGAGATACATGCTAGGAAATAGAGTGATGAATGTTCTTCGTCTACTTGTGAGTCGTGTGTATCGTAACTACCTGGAAGGGGTATAGTTGATTCAATTGATGCAAGACCCGACTCAGGAAGACCAGATAACTCCGCAAGGTAGTCACTTGTGTGTGTTAACTTAAACAATCTCGAAATAATATCTTAGACTTACCTTTCAAGTATATAACATGACCAGAAGATGCGCCTTAAACATTCGACATCTTCGGCCGATTCTCCAGGTGAGTGGTAAGATAAGAGCAGCCGACATTTTGCAGCGGTTGCGTTAATGTATTCCCATGCTTGAAGTGGTCGCTGAGAAAATGCAAAGTATACCCTGAGTTTCACAGTTAAACTTGTTCATGTCCGAAGAGGAGGATACTTACGCAGTGTAGAAAAGACATTGAACAGCAGTTGAACTCATTTCGGTATGAGGAATGTACAGTCTCTTCAGAACTTCATCGAAATAGATATCTGCCATTAGTTTCCGTCCCTTGTAGTACTCATGCTCATCCGTTGTCAGATCCCTCGGAACAGCAATATCTATGATTGATTGACTTGCGCATCCCAGTGACATCATCAATAGAGCCAATACAGATAGAGTTGTAGGTTGCTCCAATTTCCGTAACAACACACAATCTCGGAGTTGATTTCTCTTATTGTTTGACATCGCAGGATACCAAAAATTTATGTTTGCTTGAAATGACTCAATGATGTGATCCAGCTCTGGACTTCCGACATATGGATGCATAGTAGACGACCTGCTAGCGATTGGCATAATTGCTTGTTCCAGATGGAAGATGGAGGTGTAGTTTTGTCTGATGGAAGGGAACACATCGAAGAGCTGCCATGAGAGAATGGACTCGGTAGCCGAAGTGTGAAAAGAAGATAGAACGGCATTGTGGACACTTTGTTCATCATGAAAAGATAGATGACGAGGTCTAGTTATCTGTTGTGGTAATGGTGATGCAATTGTTGCTCCCCCTGAGTACGCCGTTTGAGGCGAGCCTGAATTGTGATCATTGGCGACATGATGATTCATAAAAGCAGGCGAAGCAGCCTAGAGACGAATAAGCAATGGAATTTCGCTTGCACTGACATAGCGAAGGATCATGTACCATCATTGCATTCATATCCTGTAGATATCTCTCGATGCGGAGGACGCCCTCCAAAATCGAGTCATTCTTGCCTCGACTAGAATTTGATTGTGTTACATAAGGTACAACTCAAGATTGAAGTGGAAACTTACGGATTTACATCAATTCCATACGAACAATCCTGATCCGTCGCTATGCATGTAGCACATGGATTGTGCCCATCGCATCTACGATACCACTATTCAGTATGTGAGACTCCCTTGAACGAATAATAATCACCTGATTTTCCTCAATCGGCAAACATCGCACTGCATGAGTGGTCAATAATTTCTCACATGAGGATTGACCGAGGTTCTTACTGCATGAGCTGCCCGTCGTCTTGTCCGTGGGGCAGGATCTACGGCCGACATCACAACGCTCGCAGGGAATACCAAATGCTCTCGACTTTCGATAAAGACAATCGGGGGATTCGGCATAAGACTTTTGGGATTTAAATTACAGGATACGAAAACGCTTGCTTGGTGGACGCGTACCCATTTTTTTAATGATTGGCACGGATGTTTCTTCCTCTCGAAGAAGAATGGCTCGAATGGATAACCGGCGTAAAAAGCCTTTGTGATTATGTGGAGTGTGGGAAAATGAATTTGCGCTTGGAATTGAAATTTGGGGTCATGTGGGTGGTGGGTGGTGGATGGTGGGTTAGCGGTCTCGCATGCATGCATCAGGCATTAGATATCAGATACGGGCATGATAAATTGTACCTGCAATCTTGAAATTGGGAATCGAAATAAATGATACGGAGTAGACATTTTACGACTCTGGATACGACGATATCGTTTATATGCACTGCCTGCTAGCATAAAATTTAATGTCAGAAATTAGATCATGATTCATACTAATATTAAAATAGCTCAAACACTATGAGTTCACAAATCTCACATCCTTTCCATTCAGACAGATATGACATATTCGCTTTAAACTTCGCCTTTCGCAATCGTCGTATCAACTCTGAGTGTCCTGAGAACTGTAGTTGCGTTTCTCTTTTCCAAACTCCTTTGAACTGGATTTGGAGCCTCGAACACTTCAGCCAATTCCTCCAATGTTCTATCCTTAGTTTCTGGGAAGTAGAAGTAAATGATAACCGCTTCAACCAAATCCCAGAAGACGAATACGAGGTAAAAGTAGTAGTGAATGTTCTCGAATGCTGGTCCCGAGCTGTATTGAATGATTGTGCTCGCGACCGATGAGGAGAAATTGCCGATAGCTGTACCCTTGGCTCTGGTTGAAGTTGGAAGCGTCTCTGCGATGTACATACTTTGTAAAGCGGTCCATCCAAAAGAAAAGACAAATCCGAAGATGTAGATGAATGCGATGACTGTGTTTGCAGCAGTGACGTTGGTTGTGTCCTGGGTAGCCAACTTAGATGTTCCGGTGATGATTGCAAAGCAGACCGAGCAAAACAAGATGGAGTAGAGTAAAAGCGGTCGACGACCCCAATTATCTGTATACCTAGCTCCAGCAATGGCTCCAATAAAGCAGATAGGAGAGTAGATGCCGTTCATCAAAAGCTGTCTTTCTTCAGATACAATTCCAGCATTGAGTAACATCTCGGGTAAGTAGTAGCTGGTAACGGAGTTTCCGCTCAGTTGACCAAAGCATGCCATTCCGAGTACGCAAATAAGACGGCGGCGAGCAGAATGAGTTTTCACAAGCTCAGAATAATCCCACCATCTTTTGTCAGAGTCATTAAGGCCAATTTGCTGTTGCATCTCCTTGAGCTGCAAAGTCACCATTGGGTGATCAATCGAACCTTCTCCATGGTACCTTGCCAAGACCTTAACGGCCTCGTCTGCATTGTCTTGTGCCATTAACCAGCGAGGAGATTCTGGTAACCACCAGACACCAATCGCGACGAATCCGGAGGAAATCAACTGGCACCAAATTGGTATTCTCCAACTGGCATTGCCATCGATTGTCCTACAACCATACACAACCCAAGATGCAACAATTGATCCGATGTACCTGATTATTGATCAGCGATTGCTAACTTTCAAAGAATGGAAATTCGACTTACCAAGTAGTATTGTACAGTCCAGTGAGAGTCCCTCTCCAAGCAGGATGCTAAACTAGTCAGTCACTGCCATGATTCTTTTATGATTGAACTTACAGCCATCTCGCTCACATAGCAAGGAGCACTAACGCAGCAAAAGCTGACTCCAAAGCCGAGAATAAAACGACCAGCTAGAAACATGCCATGATTTGTTGAAGGCGCTTGAACACATGTACCAATGATAACCAAAACGGCACCAGTAAACATGCCCATTCGTCTACCAAAATGATCATTGACAGGACCAGTGAAGAAGACCGCAGGAATTGAGCCTATGTTGTACATGGCAAAAACAAGGCCAGTCGAAGACCCTGCAGCGCTCCTTTAGGCTGGTTAGTATCATGATACTCTATGTTGATGACGTTTATGTCATCTTTAAGAGATGAAAGACTGTTTTCAAATGGTCATACTGTACATGATTCTCGGAGTCGAAATGATTTAGTGCAATGGAATGAAGGGAATAGATAATTACTTACATGTGGAAGTAGGTTTGATAAGTCTTCATAGCATTAAGACCACCCATTAAAGAACCATCGAATCCATTCAAACATCCACATAGATATGCGACCATCAAACAACCATAAAGACGAAACATGCTCAAGGTGAATGGACGGGGCTTCGTTCCGTCGACATCATGAGCAAGTTGAACAGCCTCACCAACCACACCCTCAGACTTTGTTTCGTGCAGTTCAACATCTTGCAAGTGCTTTTCGGCCATTGCTGATGAGAACCAGTTGGCAATATCAAGAATTAAACGGATAGATAGGAATGAACAAGAACAGATGACAGTTTAGTTCAGCTCTTCCTCCTTTCACCAGCAGCACGAGGGCGTAATATATAGTCCCAAGGTCTGTCATCTTTCTCTACGAAGTTCACCATCATTGGCCTCATTTGATTGCGTTTCCCGTCGTACCTGCTCTCTCATCCCATCGAATCGTGAGTGTAGTCCATTTTTGGCCTATATCCCGACGTTGTCAACCACATGAAGCTTGAAGCTCTGGAAGATACCCCAGATTCATAACATGGGGAAACAGGGGAACTTTGCGGCGAGTAATCGAACGACCAATAACAGTTCAACCTGAATCAAGATTTCGAGTGGAGATGTAAGCCAAAATTCGCGGTGAGAGTGGGTTGGTGCGCCAAAATCAATTAACGGTATGGTCTCGTGTTTGTGGTGATTTTGACTGCAGGGGTTTCGGCTCCGCGTTCCCCGAACTAAACATTTCCCCAAACTTCACTCAATCTACCCCTCACCTCATCGCCCTCATTTCAGCCAACCAAAATTACGAAATCCAATAAAGTTATCAAACTAATGAAACTTCTACCCCATCGTGAAATTATTCGTTTGATTGAATCTTTCGGAACATATATCCCCGAGGCCGACATCCGTCAGCTGTCAATCTACGCATCTCTGTGCTCTCTGGGTAATGAGGGGTCTCCTGGCACGCCCAAGAGTGGTGCACTCGATGCCAACTCTGGGCAAAGATGTACACTGAGTCACGATAGCCGTGATATCAATGCCATTGTAGTATAATATATGCCATAGACAGACCAATACCTTCTTTCTCACTCATCACCATTCACTTCTCAAGGGTTATAGTATTCTTTACAGCTACGACACCATCATGGCTTCCGACTTGGATATCTGCGACGAGAAGATCTTCCAACGAAATCGACTTCCAGCGAGATCATACTATATCCCACCTTCCTCTCTCCTCTTGAATGGCACATGGGACTTCCATTATGCCCCAACACCCAAACATGCACCACTTCCAGCTCAATCAAATACACCAACCTCAGAATTGGGCACTAAGGAAGGATATGTGAATGTGCCACCAACTGCAGATAAACAAATCGAGACTTTACCAGATGATGAGGTGGAATGGGGGAATATAACAGTTCCGGGGCATTGGCAACTTCAAGGGCATGGTCGACCTCAATATACAAATACAATATTCCCATTTCCCGTCTGCCCTCCACATGTCCCGACCGAAAACCCTACAGGAACTTATCGCAGATCGTTCCACGTTCCAAAGTCGTGGGATAAGTCTTCCCAGCTGCGATTGAGATTTGATGGCGTAGATAGCGCGTTCCACGTCTGGATCAATGGCCAATTCATTGGGTACTCGCAAGGATCCAGAAATGCGGCGGAATTTGATGTTTCGACATTTGTGAACCGGGGAAGCGCAAACGAAGTCTGGGTTCGTGTATACCAATGGTGTGATGGGTCATATATCGAGGATCAAGATCAATGGTGGCTTTCTGGTAAGTTCGAATTCTGTGGGAGGGGCATTAGAACTGAGGAACGTAGACTAACAATTTTATTCCAGGTATATTCAGAGATGTGAATCTTTTATCATTTCCTACAACGGGTCGAATCGACGACTATTTCGTTACACCTAAGCTGGATGAAAAATATAATGACGCGACTCTGGAAGTTGCCTTGGATTTGGTTGCTCCATCTTCTGGAGAGGTAAAATTGACGCTGCGTGATACTTCTGATGGCGATGAAGAAATATCGAGTGGTTCTCAATCTTTTGAATCTGACGCGAAGAAGCTCTCATTGAGCTTGTCGGTATCACAACCTCAGAAATGGACAGCCGAGACACCTTATTTATATCAGCTTGAGATTTCAGTTCATGTAAACAACGAAGTTACTCACACCATTTACCAAAACGTTGGTTTTCGTTGCGTCGAGCTCAAAAATGGGCTTATAACAGTCAATGGCAAAGCTATTCTCTTCAATGGCGCAAACCGTCATGATCACCATCCACATCTCGGACGTGCAGTGCCATTATCCTTTATCAAACAAGATTTACTGTTGATGAAGCAACATAATATCAATGCACTACGCTGCTCGCATTATCCATCACACCCAGGAATATATGATCTGTGTGATGAGCTTGGTCTATGGGTTATGGATGAAGCAGACTTAGAGTGTCACGGATTTTATGATGCTGTAGCATATCCTGCCGATATCCCAGAATCGATACCGTACGAAGAACGTAAGAAACTGACTTTTCCACAAGCCGCCAAATTTACCTCCGATAACGAAACTTGGCGCGACGCATATATCGACCGAATGACCCAGCTTGTGAATCGAGATAAGAACCATCCTTCGATTATCTTGTGGTCTTTAGGAAATGAAGCATTCTATGGAAAAAATCACAAGGCAATGTATGACTACGCAAAGGAAGTGGACCCTAGCCGACTGGTCCATTATGAAGGTGATACCGATGCAAAGTCTGCAGACATGTTTTCTTACATGTATCCACCCATCGATGTTCTTATCAAGCACGCAGAGACTACTGGTGTTTCTGATGGCTCCTATGATAAGCCTATCGTACTTTGCGAATATGGCCATGCCAT